ATTTTAATCCTACTATATTTAAGTATTGTAAATTTGCTGTTAGCGAACTACAGAATCAAAATTTTCACAAACTAATACTCAGCTTCTCATTATAGGATATGCACTAATCAACAAACTGTATTTAAAATAAATTATAAGGGATGCTCCTGATGTAGTCTCCAATTTAGTTAGGAATCCTGTAACTTCTGTCTTTTTTCAGTTTTTGATAATACTCAGGCATGGTCTGTTCATCACTTGAAATGACCCATTTGGATCAAATGCTCTTCTACTCCTTGGGTCATTCTTAAGTCTAGTGGATGAAATAAAGCAAAAATCTCCTCAGTCTAGCAGTTTCTTAGTAAGAAGAGAACAAATAATGGTTTAGCTTCATGACTTTGATTTAATGATAAAACTAAGGATGTGCTTTCAGAATAAGTTTTAAAGCTATTTAAATGTAAAATCTCTGATTTGACTTGTTTTTTTGTTTGTAGGAAACGTGACAGCACTCCATGTACTGCCGAATATAAGATCTGTAAAGCATGAATGACCTTTTCGGGGGTGGGAGGGAATTTGCAGTTGAATATACCAATCAGAAATGGAAAATGATTGCACTTGGATTGAGTTTCTGTAGATAAATACCCTGTACTATGTCTTATACTACTGATGAACTGTAGCAGAAGATTATTAATAGGGTAAAAAGAATATTTATGTATATATATCAATATCTGCTTCTCCTTACGGGCCACACGTTTTGTCTCTTCTGTGTATGTGAAATGGTCTTGAAGGCACATACCTGTAGCATGCAAGAGTATCTGTGTCGGCGGGAGTACTGGACCTATCGCTGTCATAGTGCCAGCTGCTGCTGTCTGCTGCCTTCAGTGCTACCTCCTTTCTTACAGAAGACTATCCAATATTAGTTCTGCTCACTAAAATCTGAATGTGCTTCTCATTCATTTTTGTGGTGGAGGTGGTATAAATGATTATGTTGTCTGTTGTATTCTGAAATGTTTTGTTATTCATTTTCTTGAGAGGTTGGTGTCATTTAAGGCTATGTCTTTTTGAAGCTATCAGTTTAGATCTTATATATACTACCTCTTTGTTTGCCAAAGTTGGTTTCTGTATATCTAATGAATTAAAATGTGCCTTTAAATCAGAGTTCTATAGCTTTTCCATTGCCTTTAAGAAGGAAAAAAGCCATATATATTTCTGGCTCTTTGGTACAGTCCCAGAAAGACTACAGTGGATTTGTTGGAATGGAAAACTGAAGGTTTCTATAGCAAAGGTATCCTGTCTTTGAATTTGTTGGCCTATTGACAGAAGGTACCTAATTAAAGGAACTGCTGAGAAACCAGTGGTAGCCATCTCCTATCCGGGAGCACAGTATAAGTTCCTTCGGATGCTTGACTTTTATTGAGTCTTGATGTCAGTTTTGGAGATAATTTTGTTGCTTTTCAGGATAGAAGGGGCACTGTATGGATCTAGCTTCCTTGCTCTTTTACTTGAAATCTTGTATTCCACGTAGAGCATTTCAAATCTCTGTATACAGACTACGATGCTAAATCAAGCTCGGTAATGCTAGATTTAGCATCAGGTAGCAGTTGAGAAACAGAAGCCTTTCCCTGTCAGACTCCCTTCTTTTTCCTGTTAAAGGAAGACCAAACCAGCTTAGTTGAGGGAGCGGAGGAATGGGTGTGCTGGTAGTGGCAGCAGATGTGGTCTCTCTTTAGGTAGTTGCTTCATGAAGTGTTTTAGTTGAGACTGTGACTCCAGGAGCTCCCATCGCAGCGTTTGCCATGAATTGAGACTCACATGTGCATTGATAGCTGTTACTGTAAAGGCATATTTGATACTTCTAATTCCTTGTTAAAACCAAAAGCTTAATTAGGAGAGGTTTTGGCTTTGTGAATCTGAGTTTGCTGTCAACATACGGGCAGCTTATAAGAACCAATTTTCCCAGAAAAAACAAATTGCCTCACTTCAGATGGCTGAAGCAGCATTTAAACTATTCTTGGTTGTCTGTGGTAGATTGGCACTGCTCTCCACTGTTGTGAACAGATTGTTTGAATAAGACTATTTAGGGCTTTATAGGGCTTTTTGGGACAATCCCAGCAGTTGTATTGTCAGAATTCATAATAGTCTGTGGTTATTAAAAAGGGGTTTTGGCTACACAGAATGATTTGCTGTTCATTGCCTAGCTGATACCTAGTTTGATAATTGTTTGTGAACACTATGATAATATACTGGGAATTGAGTGTGGTGGTCCCTAGCTAGCTTGATTATGTATGGTGTCTTCAATGTTTTAAAATATACTGAAATGCACTTAATGCTAAAGTGAAATAACTGTAAAAAATGGCCTTATTTTTACACTTTTTTTCAGATGTAAAGTCTAGTGATGACTTGTAATATTACAAATAAAAATGTTAAATTATGTAGCAGTAAGTGTTTGTCTTTCATTTGTCATGTGGTAAGCAGTTCCTTTCCCATTAAGATGATTTTTCATGTACCAAATTTGCGTTAGGTGGTAACTGTTGAGATGGAAGTTTGCAGTTTGTGTACAGAATTACTTAATGGTAGTGTAGAGAATGTGTGTTAATTTTCTGAGCAGCCTTTTGGTTTGCTTTTGGAATTGCAGAGAATTTCCCAGAACCTCCAAGACCTTACAGTGTTCACTCCTGAAAAACTTGGTAAAAACTTGATGGAGAAGAGACAGATTATCATGTGGCTGTTCTGATGTAATACTAAGTCAGGAGCAAAGCCCAGGGAGTGTTCTGGCACTTTTGTCCAGTGTGTGACAGATGAAATCCTTAGGGAATATAGCTTAGGTGTTTTTAAGTAACATGCTAAGTAGAATGTGATTATTTTTAATTGTATGAGGTTCACACTCAAAATGTACTTAATTTTCTTTGCAAAGAAACGTGTGGAGTCAGCTGCCTTATAGAATGAAGTCTTTCAGAGGGTGGCATAGAAAAATAACTAATATGCCATATTTTTTTGTAACTTCTGGTTGTGATACTCAAAATCAGTTGGCGTGGACTGCCAACGATGACAGTATGTAGACTACACAGTTTTACAATCTATGAAGTTTTGGGATTGCAGTGAGCACTGATGCAATAGGCAGCTACTAGGCAGTTTGACTTAAATGCTACAATTTATTTGTCCTAATTGTCATGAATTCTGTACCATTTTTGTAAAACTCAGTCCCACATGAATTACTTCATCTTAGAATCTGGAACTGATCATTAAGAGTCATGAATACATGAACTTTGTGCTAAGAAAAAGGCTGCATGTAATAAAAATGTGTTGTTGCCATCTACTGGTAAAACAAGTGATGTCCTCGCAGTGGGAGTCGCGGAATTTAGGTACAGCATTACCTAGTTTAATGTTAAGTAGTGTGAAGTGGCCGCTGTTGATAGGCTTCTCAGTGTTACACTTAAAATCAGTATAAATGCTTGCTTCTGAGCATGGTTCATAGGGGGTTGTGAAAAGGGAGCTGGGAACTGAAATGAAGAGACTTGCAGCAATTAGATACTGTCCATCAGGAAACATGTAATCTGTCTACCTGAGACAGAGCCCAATACCAAGTAGCACACAATTTTATTTAAAAGTTTTTTTTTAAAAAAATCTGAGTAAATAACAGGTTAAGGCAAACAAATAGCACATGGAATATAACTGGTCAGAAGGTTAGGTGGCTGTGCTCTCACACATGGGCCCTGGCTTGCTTGAGTTGAAGAATCCTAGTTACGTGTTTGAACAGATGCTTCGCTCTCTCTTGAAGCATCCCTCCTAGTTGAACGTGATGCTGACTGTCCTCCTTTTGTGCAGGATGTTCGGCCTGTCGGTGTAACTTCAGGTCAGAGAACAGAAAAGCATACCATACGTGTTTGTGAAGCAAGAGCGTGCTTTTGATGGTGTTTATTTATAAGGACTTGGGGGGGGCGGGGGAATGAAGTTTTCCATTACTGTTGCTTTTCCCCCTACATCATAACCGATTTCAAATGGTGCTAGACAAAAACTGAGACTCTGAACACCAAGAGAAATCGGTCAGCCTGTGTAAGAGACATTTTGCTGGCTCAGAGAAGAATCCTCTTGTAGATGACAGCTACGCATTCTTTAAAGACGACTACTCAGTGGTCTGATCAAATGCTTCATCCACACAGCGATCATCTTTTCTGTGTATAATAGCATGTTTGACAGTAGTGAGGTCAGGCAAAAATGGCTTAGTTTCATTGTAGTGGTTTGATGCAAGGGTATAGAAGTCTACTGAAACATTACTAGAAGTTACCATCAATAAACTTAAAAAATAATTCTAGAAAAAAGAGTGGATTTTGTGTGTACCAGTGTGACATCATCATGATTGCTGGAGGCACTTTTGTGTTTAACTGCTGAGGTCGAATTGTTGGAGGGAATTTGTGTGTGCACAGAGCAAGTCTCTGGGAGCTATGGAAGGATAGTTCTATGGAGATAGAGTCCCCAAGCACAGAGTGGAAACACATTTGGTCTAAGTTAGTAAATTAAAGGTTAGGGTCCTAGTGATTATATGATAAAGGAAATGCACTCTGCCTGTCAAGATGCAAGAAGTACTACGTTGGTTTTCATGCAACTTTCGGATCACTTTACTCTGGACAACTTTAACTCAATAGCCATTGTTTATTAAGTAGAAATACATTTAAAGGAAGCTGTTCCTGTTGTGGCCCTACCTTGAGAGGGTGTATACAGTGGTTGTATAAGTGTCTAGAAATCAGATGATGTTACAAAGTGGATGGCTGGCAAAAAAATAACCATTGGAAAAAGTGCTTGTTTAAGGAGTAGAGGCTGTCGGCAAAGTTAGCAGCTGCTTGATCACCTCCCACGCTGTAATTCTTGCTCCTAGAACACTGATTTCAAATGGTGCTAGATACAAAGTGGGAAAATCTAAGCCACCATGTGAAACCAGCTTCCAGAGGAAGACACATCTCATGCATGGCTGCAGGCTGAGGGAGAAAATCCTTCCATCTCCACTGTACCTAGAGAAAAATTCATTTATTTAATTTCATTAGAAAGAAAGACAGTTAACTTTGGGTTAGTTACTTTATTGACATAGATTTTTTTTTTTTTTGACATCTTGTGAATAGTTGAGGCTGGTGTAGGAGAAATGAAGTATGTGATGAGGAAGCCCACCACTCTGGCAATGACTGTCATTTCCTTTCACTGCCAGGTAGAACATATTGAAGCTCTTACCAGCAAGTAGTGAAAAAGGTCCGACTTTGTAGTGCTGAGTATGCTAGTGATGGGGTGTGGGGGAAGATTTGTATTGTAGAGGAACACTTCTTTCATGCCCTTGCAAATGGAACTAGGCTATAAACTTAATTCTGTCCAAGGTAAAGAGTGGCCTGGCTTTCCACCACTCACTGATCTCGGCATCATCAGCGAGGGCAGGACACATCAGGTGCTTTTTGTGACAGGGAAAGAAAATGTGACTGTCATGGTGGAGCTTTCTTTGTCAGCTGCGTCACACGGCCCGTAAATATCATGCTTCTAATAAACAAGGAGTTGCAGATTTTTGTGAGACAAGTTTTAAATTCTGTAGGGACAATGAGAATAAATTGCATGGAAACTACTTTGTGTATGGGTCAGAACAAAACCTAAAAAGTGAGCGTTTGCAAATCTAACTGTAAATGGTTCAACAAAAGTTGTCAAGGAAGTAGGAGAGTGTGAAAATGAGTGGCTGACGGTTACTGGAAATGGAATAGGTCTGAGCAGTGCTGTTGTGTAGCTCAGCCATGGTAGTTAACAGGCAGTGTACGTGTCCCAGTACAGTGAGAGTAGATGGGGGTGTCTCGAAGCTTGTGCATGACTGCACACATAATTTGAGAACTATCAGACCCTGGCCACCACGTCTAACCTGTGCTGCTGCAGAAGCTGATGTAAAATGGAATGAAGAGCGGCAGAAGTGGAGTTGGGAGTTTCACTTATTGATGCCCTGGGCTTTTAGCAACTCTTTGCATTAGTTTTGTAACCAGATCCAAGAAACTGCTTCAGTGCCTACATCCTAATGCACACCCACAGGCGGCAGAGGAAAAGAGCATGTCCTTCCAAGAAAGGGGAGTGGAGGAAGGGGGAAGAACTGCACTAGATTACTGTGTCTGGATATTTACTGTAGTTTCTAAATCCATTATCTGGGGCAACAGGGTGAAAGACAAGTGGAAAGCAGGTTCCCTCCCCAGTGTCTGTCTTGCTGGCACAGTTATTTATGAGGCACCCTGTACTATCAGTGTAAGATTTACTACTGAAAGCTGGGCTGAGAGTTACTGCTGACAAGAGGTCAGTTCCAGCACAGATAAAGTACCACAGCAGCATCTTTCAGAAACAGGCTCAAAGAGAGGGTTGCTTTGGTTTTTTTCTTGTCTCAGTAGTATGCATATGCCTTAACAGTAAAAAGAAATCTTTATTAGGGTTTTCAAAATCAGTTGGTGGAAATGTCACTTGTGTTTCTGCTGCTAAAAATGAGAGCTTCTCTAGAGGTATGAGACTTAGAGTCTGAACACCTATGCTTACCTTCCCCTCCCCTCTCCAAAGGAGACTAACCTTTCCAGAAATATCATGCAGCAGTTGAAGACCAATGGCTCATTCATTTTTTTTAGAGCTTGATAAAACCAGCATAATTAAGATGCTGTTGCGCCCTCCTCCAGGCTACCTGAAGGATGTCCTGTTGCCTTAACAAGCTCCCCTTCCCTCCAAGCAGCCTGAAGGCGTCAGCCCTTTCTCCCAAAGTGCAGGTACACCTTTTATGAAGGATACGTCTGTGACAGCGTATGCTGTTCTTTCCAAACCTAATAGCATGCTTGGGCAGGCAGTATGCAGAGGGGAGGAGAAAAAGAGAGCAGTTCAAGATGCTGTGGTACACAGCATTCAACTGTTAATATGCACACATGCAGAAAAATAAACCAGTGCTTGTCACAAGCATTTGCTGGTGTGTGTTGAGTATACATAGGGACACACATGGGTGCAGAGACAAGTACTATCAGGTATAGTTGGCTTGGTCAAAGTGTTCTGGAGTTTTCAATCAATAATAGTAGAAAAAGTACAATATTAGCATTTTGGTTTTTTCCTCCTTTTTCAGACACTTTTTAGTAGTACTATTCTGTAGCTTCTTTCAGAGGACCATCTCAAAGCCTTTCACAGACTTCACACTGCTCTATCCATTCTACACAAGACAAAGGCAAAAAGGGAAGACATCCCTGCCTCCTACGTGAAAGGGAACTTCTTCCCTAGCCTGAAACCTTTAATCTGCAGGACCAAGGCAAGCCTGGATGTCACTGACCTGGTTTTTCACAACCTCTGTCTTATAAATTAAGGCACTTCTGGGGCTTCCACGGTAAGCAAAAAAAGACCTCTCCGTGACCCTGTGTGCATCGTAATTTTTTCCCTCCATTTTCAAATGACTGAGTGAAACTCATGGTTCATCAGGCTCTGGTCTCCCCTGGAGAAAGTATTCCCATTCTACATGCAGAAGATCTGAGCTTGATGCATCATCCTCACAGTCAAGGAATGAGTCAGACCAAGGCCAGGTGCAGGACAGAGGGGTGTGACAGTACAAGTGGTGACCTGTAAGGGGAATTGAAATGAGTGAACTTCTAAGGTTTCAAAAAAAGCTTCCTCAGCCCGGAGGAGCGTGTAACTGCATCTGTTTGTTGTGCAGTTTTGTTACTGTGTGGTGTTGCGTGGGTCAGGCATGGACAAATGTGCCCTAACTTGCAGTCTGAGCCACTCGGTAGTGTGTAATGCTTTCTATGTCGGCACTAGCACTGACCTAGGCTGAGTAAAGCTGGGGTAGATGCTGCATTGCTTAGTGAAGGTGATGCTTGTGACTAGAAGATAGCTCTAGAAATGCTACTGCTATTGTGGGCAGCAAAAACATGTACTTCCCTCATGAGTTTAAAGCATAATGGAGATTTTTTTTTTTTTTTTTTTCATGATTAGGACCAGAATAAAAACTCCAGATCACATTCCTGAGTTGAACCAAGCCCATTCCTTTAGTCCTGCTATTGTAGCCTTATAATTGCAGTATAAATAGTAAAGTTAAAAGCCAGGCACTCTGGGTCTGCAACCTTTGTGCTATCTGCCCCCTTCCCACAAAACCAAAGGTAGGCTGGATGCCGGACTGTGGCATGCTGCGGGTACAAGCCTGTAGAGCCTTTTGTTCCATTTAGCTCTGAGCAATGGGACAGTCAGGCCTGCTTGACTTTTGACTCACTAATTTCAATTCCTATTAAGGGTAATCTGTCGGAGCACTTGTCTAACTGTGCTGAACTGTCAACAAGCTGCCTATCATTCTAACCCATTTTTTAAAATGGTCCAATTGTTCGAGGGTTTGGGGGTTAGGGGAAGGCCAGGTTTTTGTTTGCTCATTTAGCGTAGGGGGAAGCAGCTTTTCCAGATAATTTAGGGCAAACCAGGTGGTAGATAGTGTCTGTGGTGGCTGAAATTTGGCTTGTGACAAGGTCTGAGAAGTGTACCTGGGCCTTTTCTCTTTGCACAGTGGCCTCCCTGAGGGCACTCTTGCTGCTTTGAGGGAGTTTTACTCATTCCCAGCATGGGTTTGGTGCCAGCCAGGATTCTGCTGAACAACGCTGCGCCACGGTTGGGCAGCCAGCGTTGGCAAACAGGAATTGATGGTTCGGATGCAGCAAACCTGATTGTGGGGGCAAGATAGTTCGACACTAGCACAGACCCAGACACCCCGGGTGTTGTGATGGGCCATACCAGGCTTCATTTTATGGTTCTGCCATCCTGATCCACATTTTCTGTGGTGGTTGGGTCTAACAAAGGAAGCTAAAAAAAAAAAAAAAGGTGCAAGAGACATTTAATTCCCAGATTATAGATCTGTTGGAGAAAGTTGGAGATAGTTTGTAACAGCCCAACATCACTATAATAATTAGGCTTTATTCACAAGCCCTGTTTTTTTAAAATCTGAGAACTTTGTTTCAGACCTTTAAGTAAAATGTAACACTTCCGTGCTATTTGCTATTGCTTGCTCCAAAGTTATTCTGAGCTGAAGGGAACAGTTTTAGCATAGTGACCATTCTAGGGCTACAGTTTCTAATCTTGTGATTCCCGTCTGCTCAGCTGAAATTGCTTTGACTTGCCTGGAGTCACGCAGTTTTCTTCCACCTTTGCTTTCATGAGAGTTACTAGGCAAAACCACAGCCTGTTTGGAGGGCAGAGGAACTACTGAACCACTGACTCCTATGGAGGATTTAGATTTCACAAGGAACAGTGAGGTGAAACTGAGCAAACGTACACAGTGGGAAAAAAAGCATTGCATTTACATGACTTAGGTCATGGAAGAGCAATAGGAAGGTGCAGCAATGAAAACTCATCAAATTTAGCCATACGCAGCTTGACTGAACAGCACACCGCAAAACTAACTACACTAACAAAAATTATCCACCAAAGTAGGTGAAACCAGAAAAGTCATTTTCTGTTCCTAACTTCTGTACCTAAGCATCACCTTAAAATATAAAGTGTTGATTGCAGGTCTTGAAAGCACTCACAGGGAGATTACTGTGATTTGTATAGTCAGTTTAGGAACATGATGTTCCCCCAGCGCTACCATTGCAGCTACTTTAGTTAATGTCAAGGGAAGTCATATTTTTCTTTGTGTTGCTCAAGAGACAAAAGAATGTCCCGTGCCAGTGAAGAGCATAAGGAAACAAATACTGCCAGATGTTCACTGAAGTATAACCTGCCCTTAAACCGGACATCTGAAAACACGCCTTCAGTGCCCTGCCACATCTTAGCACTACCCACAGTAAAAGGACCTGGCAAAAAAGCTGGAGAAAAACAAACTCCTGGCTGACTCCCCCGAGCACGTGAGCTGTTGGGTTAGTACCTGCTCCCAGGATTTCCATCAGTCTCTCTATCACTGAAACTTCACTGCGTGTTTGAGAGCCATCATCAATGTTTAAGCAGCATCTGAGCTGTATATCCAAATACAAAAGCAGTGGCTGCTGCCGGGCACCTACTATGCACCATTTGCACTGGATAGTGTTTGTGTGGGGAGCTGAAGAGATGTGCTTAACTCAGAAATAGCTCTTCCTTGGAAAGCTTAAAGTCTGAATCACACTGTGTTGGCTCAGTTTTTAGCAGACAAGCTATCACATATGCCTCCCTGTAGGCGAAGAGTCGTCACTGGCATCAGGATTAGCAGCCAGGTTCTTTCCCTTTGAAAACTAGAGAATAATGGTACTGAAGGCTCCGGCTGACTTTAAGCACGGTCAGGGCAGGAGGCTGCCCAGGGCTGGAGGCTTGGGGGGGTGAGCTGGCAACACTGTGAGCAGGAAGGGCCCACTCGTGTCCATGCTTGGCCTGCACTGCCCCTGTGTTCCTCTCTCTTCAAAAGGAGTCAGATAACATGTCCCCACACTGAACTTTGTTATTGCAAAGATGGGGACAACGTAAGTTATTTTGCTCAAGATCCTTGAGGCATTAACCACCCCACTGCTGCCTGTGAACCTGAGACTAGAGGCAGCCCTAAGATATCCATGGTTGAGGTTGCCCTGCGTCAACTGAAAATACTAGTGACATGGACAAATAGGAACACCAGAGAAAAATGTGGAAACCTGGGAGGGGACGAGACAGCTAATCAGCTGAGGTACCTGAAACTGAAAGCACGTGAGGGACAACACTAGTTTGACAGACACTGATGAACTTAGAGCAGCTTGCGGAGTCCACCTGATAACAACCACAACAACAGAAATGCAAATATATGCAGTTACTTTTTTCTTTTTTTTCTGGAACACAGTGTAAGTTGATGCCTAGTCCTTAAATACATGCTGCTCCTGATTCCCAGCAGTCCAGAAGTCTTGAGGGAAAAGGGGATGAGAGAACTAGTGCAAAGTTTTTGTAGTTAGCTCATGAAACAAATTACAGGTACGGATTTTAAAACGCTTCAGAGATGCAGGATTCTTGGACCTACAGTGTTGGACTCAGTGGCCCACTACTGCAGTAGCATTAATTTTCAAGCCTCACCTCCAGGTTCAGGACTCAAGCGCTGCCACAGTTGCAAGAAATGTGGATTGGGAGTTCCTGAACCAACTGGTTGCTGACAATGAGTCAGGGGAATGACCTTGCAGCAGGCAGCTCACGGCACCTCTCTCGGAGTCGTGCCAGTATAAACGGCACTGGCATCTCTGAACACTGTTGAAACCATTTTGTGAGATTCCCGCGTTGGCCTTTTCTACTGCTGCCTTTGCACCAAAACTTTTGGGTGGGTGCGAACAGAAGAGAGTACTCCCTTCTTGTTCCTTAACAAGGGCATCTTCACAACCTAGGCTTGGGGACTATCTATACCTATGTACAGATCTGTAGAGGATATGGGCAACTCGTATGTCTTGCCTACATCTCTGTCCATTAGCATCAGCGACACAGATACTTAATCGACTTAAATCTTAACCTCCCCCCCACAGCCACACCCATATTAAACTGTAAGAAAACACCACGGACAAGTTATAGAAAAAAATTCATGGCAATACTGAATTTTCTGGATAGATCTGGAAGTGATTTGTAAGAGGAGTGAGGGTAGAATACTTGGCATATGGACATTTTAATGAATTTTCCCAAATAAAAAAAAAAAAACAAAACATTTGCTCGTAGACTTTAAGCTTCTCACAGCATCAGTAAAGCTCCTGACACAGAGCCCAACGCTGTATTTGTATAACATGGAAATTAACAGCAGCAGCAGCAGCAGCAGTGCTGCAGGCTTAGAGTCTACTCTGCGAGCAACAAAATGGCTAGGGGTGCTGTCGTGTTCGTTCCAATTCCCTCGCCGTCTGTGGGCAGTGAAGTAGGTGGATGCTGATATCCCTGCCACTTCAGGTATGGCTGCGAACTTCAACATCAATATTAAATTAATGTTTCTAACCATATTCAAGCTTGTGCCCTCGTCAGCTCGACTCCGTAAAGCACAGACAGGAACCAACAGCAAAATCGGACTGCGTCACAGATGTAACATGACCATCGGCAAAACAAGTGCAGGAAGAGATCATGGCTGCCTCGTCAGCCCGAGAGCCTTCCTTCGATACCAGAGAGGAATACGATGGTAATGCTTTTAAATTTATGTTGTGAGCATTTGCAGTCCTTAACTTCCTTTACCAAATTTTGCAGTCCTTGAGCAGTCAAAACTCCCAAGAAAATTGCATGTATTTTGCCAACAGACCCAACGCATTAACAAACACTGCGTCATAATGCCGCACTAAGGCTGAGAGATACGGTAAACCCCCACTTTACAAAGGAAGGAAACCAAAATACAGAAAAATGAATCAGCTTACACAATGTCACACACACAAGTGTCGGAGGGAGGAAGAAATCACAGCTTTCCCAAGTCCTTTTGCGGCAATACGCAGGAAACCATCATGGAACAGTCGGCCATGTACAGCTAACGTACAGTAACGATACCAGCCCTATGCGCAAAATCGCTGCCGTCCTGTCCTACAGAAATATGCCGTGTGCCCTTCTTAGCCTTGTTTCTTACCAGTCCCACAGATTTACCTGCTGACAGTAACCTCAATTCCTGAGTAATGAGATTTACAGCCCAAGTTTAACATTGAAATAACTCCTCTTTTATCTCTGTCTCCTTACCCTCCCTGCATCTAGTCACAATTAAACTATCACCGTGGCAAAAAGAGTAACGAAAGGGATAAAAACAAATGCATCCCTCCGCTGAACATGGAAACTCGAAAAGTACGTATATGCCTGGGCAAGTATAGGGGTTGCCAGTTGCACCTCCTTTCAAAGGACTGAGAAATGCCATTAAGAACCACTAGCTTTACACATTAACGAGGCCCTCTGCCCCGCAATGGTGATGGGGAAAAATGGGCAGGGTTGTCCGTGCAGACAGCACTCGGTAAAACAGACTCAACCCACCCGTCTTCCATGCAAGCCAGCATCATTTCTCAGTCCAGCTCCTGGCTGCACAGAATAACCCCCGCGGCTGCCTGTGCTGTTCCCGTATGTGTGTGTGTTTATGCCTGTCTGTCTTGCTGCAGGGACCACCGTCGTTGCTGCTATTCCTGTTGTTCCCCTGCTCTGCGGAACTGGCGCTGCAGGAGGCAAGGATGCTCCAAGGGAGCCAGCTACAGCCAGCGAAGGCTCAGTGAGTCAGGAGGGGTTGTGATGACTGCAGTCAGAGTCTGAAATTCCCTGTGGAATCCGGCAGAAGAGGAGGGGAGGCAAGAAAGGTGGAGATGGGAAAGAGGAAAAAAAAAGTGGGGAGTGGCACCTACTGTCTGTTTTCTTCTTCCCTCCCGGCTCCTACCACCGCGCTGCCGTGGGAGACGGCATCCTCCCCTCTACGGTGCTGCGCAAAAGAATGGCGGCGGGGATAAAACCGCAGCGCGTGCGGCCTTCGGAACCGAACCGCCAAAATTCGGTCGGGGCGGGCGTACCTGTGTAAATACAGCCCTTCTCTCTCTCCCTCTCCCTCAGGCTGCCGGTCGGAGGACAGGCTGCTGCTGAAGTAATGGGGACGGCGGCCGCGGAACGTCTGAGCCCGTTGTGAACCCAGCGGTTGTTGCTAAACAACCGGACCTGACGCTTGAGATGTCAACGAGTGAGTAACAGAGATCCAATGCTTATGCTACCATATCCTTAAACTTGTTTAAGCCTCGACATGATGAAAGGCTACGGAATAACGTTCCCTGCCGTATGAGAAAGCAAAGTTACCACTCCACTGCATAACCAGGAGACTTCCTCGTCCAGAAGGACCGAGCTCAAAGCTGGTTGTGTCCTCAGCACTTCCAGGCAGAGCTGCCATCTTCACTGCTGGTCGCTTTAAGAAGAGAGGTGAAAAAATAGTATAGTAAATGGTTAAGAGAGAAAAATGTTCTCCCCTTCATTTCCTCACGCTCTCCCTGGAGCTGCTTTCTGCCCTCAGTCTCCCATTCAGCCTCGCCCAGTCCTCCCCAATTCTTCAGTCCCTGCATTCTAACGCTGTTACTTCTTTTGCAGACCTTTCCAGACCCGTCACTTAGGGCTGTCTTCAGCTCTCCCTGATGTTACCGAGCCTGTGGCAAGCTCACACTTATGCAAACAAAAGCTGCGTTTGGGCAAGAGTCTTTTTCACTTCTTTAATTATTCCCACGACATAATTTCCAGGTGCAATCCCTGCCCCGAGCAGTTCACAGTCCTGCTAACGCTTAACCGCCTTATAAGGAAGAAGCAAGCGAGCGAGGAGAAAAGCCCCAAACCCCAGTACTTTCCCCTTGCCCGTGGTTTGCAGCTCTGACACGTCATCGTCACAACTGCACGGCGAAACGAAACCCGCGGGGCAACCCACGGGCGCGGGGCAACCCACGGGCGCGGGGGCCCTGGCTCACCGAGGAGTTAACCGCTTCTTTCCCACCCGCAGCCCCTGCCCGAGGGGCTCCTGGAGCCGCGGGCGGGCAGGGAGCGGGCAGGGAGCGGGCAGGGAGCTGCCGGCACTTTGAAGCGAGTGAAATCAACGTTGAGATTTGACACCCAGTCCTCGACCAATCCGGGAGGGCTTTTCACCTGCCATCACCTCCTCCGCCAATCGGACGGCGCCTTTGGGCTGAGAGCCCTCCCCGGCCAATGGGGAGCCGGCTCTGCCACTTAGTTAATGATGCAGCAGTACAGGGAAGACTATCACATGTGAGCTGGAAGGCTGCCAACATGGAGACACGGAGAGAGCAAGGTAAACAACTTTCCAACGCCAAAATGATGACATTTAATCCCTAAATGCTAGCTTCCCGTCTCGACTCATCCTTAACCCCTTTCAGCTGGTGTGGAAGCGTCTGGAAGGCACCCTCTACCTGTCCCCAGTGCTTTTAAAAACTGGACGACATGCCCTGCAATGATCACTGCGTCACCGTTTACCACTTTCCGAACTACGCAGTGACAAACCTCCAAGCTCTGAAACGCAGAGCGCCTGTTAACCCCTCCACCAAACCCTCGCCGACATGCCAGCCTTTAGAGAGACAGGGGGGGAATAAAAAGCCCAAACAAAACATGAAAACAGCAGTCTTTGCAAAGTTGTCATCTCTCCCCCACGACTACTACCCTCCTCTGCAGTACAGCAATGCCGGCAAGAGTGACATTAGTACAACCTGTGCCGTTGTTCCATTGAGAAAACAGCTCTGACGCAGAACAGAGCAAGCATACCCAGCCAAAATAATAATAGAGGCACTTTGGGATCCGAACTTAGGGACGCCGGGGGAAAGGGACGCCCTGCAAATAATTAAAATACGTAGATGCAGCTCAAGCCCCATCCTGATCAAAGGGTACGTACGTGGGAAAGACGAACCGGACCGAAGAGCTCTGCCCGTGCACCATCTGCGCAGTCCTCAGCCCTCCGCTCGCTGTGTAGCGCCGCAGAATAGAAGGTTCCAGAAATTTCCTTTCCGTTAACCCTTTCGGTGTCTGCCCACTCTCCCTCCCCGCGGGATTAAGCGCGCCGGGTCTCCAGCATCGTCAATGGGCGAAGCCTCCTACGCCAACCGAGCCCAAATACGATCTTTAAATGACACTGGATGGTGGCAGGAGCCCAGTCCCTGGTGTTGGTGTTACTTCTCTTTCTGGAGCCCTCTCTGCCTCTCTTGCTGCCTCTCTCCCCTCTTGCTGCAGCAGGGCTGTTGCTGGTAGACCTATCGACGGAGCTTGCTCTCTCACTCTCTCGCTGAGCTCTGTGACGCAGCTCTAAATTCTCCAGCCTGCTCCCTGTGTTATAAGAGCGGAACTGCAGCTTTCCAGGGAGCCCGTGCCAGCCGTGCCAGGGCCAGGCAAACCGAGGGGAACGTCGCTCCTGGACTCTGCACCTTTTTTTGGTAATTATTATGTTCCTCACCTCTGTTTCTGTGCTTCCTCCAAGGCTCTCAGCCTCGCATCTCCTTCTCTGCTTCTGAGTCATACTAGGTTAACTCTTTTAGGATTGGTAGTCAGCAATACAAATCTCGAACAAGCGCAGCTGAAACCACAGCCAACTTTGTGGTGGTTTCTGCTTTAAAAAACCAAAGCAAATCTTCTTGGCTCTAAAAAACAAAAACACACACACACACACATGCAGACACACACGTTCCAGTAGAGAGTTAGTGCTTTTTGATTAACTGTTTCGATGACAGGAACCACTACTTGACTTCCTGAAATAAAATATTTTAGGCCCACGTCTTGCAAATACTCAGCAGGCAGTTACCCCGAAGCACCAGGCAACTTAAAAGGAACTGCTCCTGTGAACTAGTGCAGGTCTTCTGGGCATGAAAGCATGAGGCTACTGCTGGACCCACGAGACCCTGCTCTGCTGGCCACAAGACATTGATCTGAATGTGGTTCAGCCACTGGACAGATGCAAGGTGTAAGATAAGGTACTGAACGTGCTAGAAAGCTATAGGCTCTTCTCAATCTGAACAGTATAAATAAGTGTTATCACACACAGAGATTCAGAAAGCTCAGCGTAGGCAGGGGAACTAATAACTGCGTTCCTGGAGTCACCAGAATCCAATAATCTCTGTCAAAGTCCACAAGCAGCTATGTATTTCAGCACAGCAGGCTTCACCAGGCAAGAGAGATTTTGCAGATGAACACTCTCTCCTTGCCTCTGCCCCCCAGGACCGTCCCTTGCATTAACTCCGGTGCCGTCGGCCAACTTCAGCACCAGGCAGGGGAAGCAGTGCTCTCCCGTCTTGTAGCCTCAAAACCGGGAAATGTGGAGGAGGATCGGTGGTAGATACAGCATCTGGGAATCAAAGGGAAGCTAATGGAGAGCCAGCACTGTATGGAGGAGTTCATGCGTCAGTCTGCATATACAAAAGAGCAAGTGAGAGAGCCAGCAGTCCATTTGAAAAGCACAGAATCAAGGGATTCACTACTACACAGCTACATCTGCCATTTTAATTCCGGACTTCAGAGCTGGCTGCGAGCTTTGGGTTTTTCACTACAACCAAAGCTGAAGTAACCACTATTTTTTCTCTTCGCAGCGTCTGAAGAGCCTGAGCTATTTTGGGATTTGTCTGTACTACACTGAAAATGACACCTGTTACGCACAGACACAAATGAGAGGAATTGCAAGCTCCCGGTTTCTCAGATACGATTCTGCAAAAAAAGGACAAGATCCTATGAGCTGGGGACCGGGGAGAGCAGCACAGGCTCTCGGTGTGGGGTTAAGGGGATGACCCTTGTGAATTGAACAGTCAGTCAGCGGAACAAAAAATGTAAAAGGTCTCTTGCAGCTGATGCAAGGGGAAATCAAACCTCCATGTGACCAGAAGTAGTGCTTGATCAACTAAATGCCACAACACAGGGTTTCTTATGCAATCAAACCCATGGGACTTCAAGCCTTACATACACGTTTTGTGGCCAGACCTGCAAGCATTAACTACTTCAGTTAATGAAGGTAAAATTGTAAGAGCGTTACGGCTACTTAAATGAGTCACCCAGCGGTGACACTCGCTAAAGTAGGCCAGTGTTTTATGCGACGTTAAGCCGCCTGTGCTGTTCAGTAACCCCTGAGTTATCTCAGAAGCTCCCCCAGCGTGCGGGGTCAGGGCGGATTTTCCGCATTCCCCGCTTTCCCCGCCGGCGTGCGGCTGATTTACAAGGCGCCAGCGCCGCGCGGGCGAGGCGGGGGCCATCTCGCTGGGCCCGCGAGACCCGGCGAAGCTCTGCACGTGAGAGCGTACGGCGCTGGAACGAGAGAAGGGACTCTGGTCCTCAGAGATGGGACAGCTGACCGGTGCTTTTAGCTTACAGCGCTCTTGTCAGTCTCGTGTTATGCTAAGGAAGTAAAATGGAGCTTTGATCTATTTCAAATTGTATCTTTTTGGTTGCTTTCAGGGGAGAGGCGGCATTTATTTTCTGGTTTACTTTCGTTTGGAAATGACCTGCCTTGGAACATTTCTACCTGTACCTGACTGTAAGTATTTACTTTGTGGTGGCACTCAGGCTCCCGAGAAGACTCGGCCGCACTGCACTGGGAAACACTCAAGTGCGTAACTAAGAAAATGTGGCACAATGAAAAGCTTCAGCAAGCAGAACTGAATAATGAGGCCCCAAAAAATAAAGTCATCTTCTCACACTGTTGAGTCAGTTAAATGTTGGGCAGGCTTTGGCATTTTCTGTGAGCTGAAGTAAAGAAATAGAGGCTGTGATTCCATGGTAGAAATCCAGGCTGCTTTCTGAAGCCCATGTACATGTTTTGCTACTGGCTTGGGGGTTTATTGCTATTTTTCTTTTCCTCCAAACTGTCTAAAAGCAGGAGACGGAACTTCGGTTTTGTAAGAACTGACTATGAGGAAGCAAAGTCCTGGGCTAGAAAGCAAGCTTGGAAAATGGAAATAAAGCAAGCTTGGAAAATGGAAATAATCCACAGCCGTGGTCAGAGGCAGGAGAGATCAGTCTCACCACATGAATGGAAGTGTGAGGATCCATTCCAAAGGGAGGGGTGACCTCATGGCTAGCTGCAACTGTGCCATGGGTTCTTACAGTGTTGATTAAAAAAAAAAAAAAAAAGTTTTGATAGTGCTAGACAATGCAGTAAGATCTCATGACTCACAACTGAAACAGTTCAAACTGGATGTTGGGGGAAAAAGAAAAAATTCTTCAGGAGGGTGAGAGGGATTGAACCCCCAGCCCTCACTACCAAGCCTGCCGGCAGTTGGCGGTTTCCCTCAGCGCCATGGAAGGATCAGGGAGAGAATCCTCGGCGAGCAGGGGAAGCGTGGGCTGGCCACTGCTTACGTGCCAAACTGTACGTGAAGGTGCATCCTCAGTTCTCCGGCATCTCCCGCGCTATTTTCTGCTGTCGTGCTACGATGACCTTAAGAGCAATAACGTATGAAGTCCGATGTTACAAAATCCAACCCTCGTGCACGTCATTATTGGTGTTGTGGGTGATAAAATAACCTCGGCCATCCACTGAGGAAGGTCCTTGGTCTTTTTAATGACGAGCGAAACCCTCGTGGCACTACCCACCCTTTCAGCTTCCTGCTGGTGAAGCCTTGGCTCAGGTTTCGGTTTAAATGCCATCGGCCACACCTTCCTCCGACTGCAGGAAGCTGCGATTGTTAAAATCAGGGCATGTTCCTGTTTAACTAAAAGGCTGAGATCAAATAATCCAAAGGCCTCGACTCTGCCAAACAAATTCCTGCCCAGGACCTAGCAAGTCTGTGCAGCTGTAAATCTATAACCCCTCGACCTCAATATCCATGTAAATGACGTCTGGGCCCGTCACCTCGGGGAGCGGTTGGCAATAAACGGAAGGAGCAAAGACTCGGGCAAAGGCGGACGGGGAGATCTGAAAGTTAACAATAATAATGCTTAGCACAATGTTCTTCAGTTTACCAACCGAAAGTCCCGAAAGTTGCTTTAAAATGCAAAATAGTACGTTTTGCAAATGCTGATGTGGGACAGCTCTTTTGCAAAATGTGAAATTTGTCGGTGCTACCTCTTCCTCACAAAATGCTCACAACCTCAGCAAAATTACGGTTTCCAACAAAAATGTATTTCAGCACAGAATTCCCAGGCAGCTTCATTCAAGGAAACGGTAACATGATAGCCCATCTGCCAGGACTGCTTCCCCTCACCCCCATCAATCAGGGGGTGGTTAATTTTAAAACTATTCTTTTAATCTGAGCGTTATAATAGAAAATCATCCTTAAAAAAAAAAAAAAACTTATTTAACTCTTTACTATAGTAAAACAATTGTCTACAATGACCACAAATAAAGAAGTAATGTTAGTTGTTATGAAAACTATGAAGTTTTTAATGTTTGCTTATTTTAAATTAATATAATTTTGCATATGGGAAGGCTGAATTAAATAAAGATTAAATAATTTGACCCACATTTTATGCAGAATCAGGGTCAAAGCTGATATGGAAATTTGGGAGTTCCTTGCTCCCAGATTTTACTCAAGTTGTGCCTCTTGCTTAATTATAGTCCTTATTGCACAGAAGGCCCCCAGTGAACTAGTGAGACGTAACCATCATCTGAAACAGAAGCTGCCGGAACAGAGTGGCTTTTAGAGGAAATAATTGATAGGCAGTGATTTGAGGAGGCATTTCTTTCATTTTTCAAAAAGAAAAGCAGAAATAAGACTTTGAAGTCTTCCTTCTGTTTTCACATGTATGTGGACAACAACAGACAAGTCACGGTCTTACAACTCGATCCCCACAGTCCCCAACAGGCAGATTTCCAGGAAACTGGAGACTTGCAACTCCAAAACAGGAATATTTCTAACTCAGCTACCAGAGTCCCTGAAGGGATATTCTACACAGTGTACTGTGCATCAGGTTTTGGGCCACTGTGACAACCGTAGAAAAGTTACAGAGTCACAACAAACATTTAGGCTTCTTTTTTTTTTTTTTCTGAAAGGTTTATTGTTTTCCAGACAAGCTTCATTAGTGAATGCCAGAGAAATGGCCAGCACTTGCTATTCTTTGCCAGCCCAGTGCGTACACACGCTGTTCTTCTCTCTAGGGTTCCAACCAAGAGGAGGAAGAGCGGGCAGGCATAGAAATAACAATAAAACCCCTTCTGAAACACTTTTAAAGTTGATTCTCTGCGCCGGCTTGGGTGGGCGCAACGGACTCTGCACAAAGATTGGGGTGGGGGGGGGATTGTAGTCCTCTTTGGGGGGTGGCTCAAGGGAATTGGACGGTGTTGAGATCAAAAGACTGCAAAGCCAGAGGTGTGGATTCGTTCCCAAGAACCGGCAGGGATGTGTTGGCATTGGGTAGTCACATTTGCATAAAATGCTTGCTTGCATTCTTCTGCAAACCTAGCCCACGCAATAAAGCAGGCACTGAAATGGAAGCCTGCAGGTGAAAACCTAGCCCTCCCTTTGAAAACCTGCGGTCCTGGAATTTACCCTGTGAAGTCTAAGAAAACCCCAGCTGGAAGAGCTGAGCTCCTTTTCAAAGAGGTGGCACCACATTAATGCACAAGCTGCTTCAAAGCAGAGCGTGCGCCTTGTGTCGGAGCCGGGTTCAAGGCATTCAGCATCCTCAGCCAACAGCTCTGCGCGCTGGCACAGCGACGGGAGCCCTGCCCGGGGGTCGGCCTGGCAGCCCCCCAGCCCCCCTGCCCGCGGTGGGAGCGGGAGCGGGGGCAGCCAGGCTCCCCCAGCTGCGGGTTTTGCTCCGTTCCAAATCGAAGGAGCCAACGGCGCTGAGACAAAAGTCGTTATTTCAGCTATTAGCTGCTAAGAATAGAGGCGGCGGGGGTGCTGTGCGTGGCTGAGGTGCACTGACAGCGCAGTCGGAGGGAGCAGGGATTGCAGTGGCAGCACAGAAATAGCCATTCTCCACGCTCAGCGCTTGGAAGCTTCATGAGTCACTAAAATACACGGCGGGGGGGGACAGGTGGGGTGGAGAGGAAAATACACCCTGCCCCTGTGTGTAGAGGAGAACATCCCCCTGGGCTGACTGCTGTATTTTGGGGGGGTGGGGGGGCAGGACAGCATTTTGCTGAGGAGCCTGGCTGCCCCTAAGCAGAGCATCTTCCCAGCCAGGAGGCAGTGGACCACCCTCGCGCGTCCCGGCGAGCGGGGCTGTTGCAAGGAAAACTTCAACCAGACCCGATGCCCTTATGCAGCTTAAAGGTACCGATCCCCGGCCCGGGGAGGGACACGGCCCGTGGCGGGGGCTGCTCCTGGCCCCCCCGCTGCCCGGCCCTCCGGCCGCTCTCACGTGGGGCATGAATATTTGCAAAAGCCAAACACCACCGGAGCGGGGCGGGGGCAGCAGGACGGAGGGATCTACTGATCTCGATCCAACTGTGTTTCACGGTGTTTTCCTAACGGCTAATCTCACTCGAAGTTCCCTTTACAAATACATCATAAAAGGCTGAACATATGAACAGCAGCTATTTACATACGGGATCAGTAAAGGATGAGGTGCTCAGGCGGCTGTTCATAGGTGTCTAACATCTCGTCCTGACGCTATTTAGCAAAAATCCTATTGGTATCACTACATGTTTTTACTCAGTATAGCCTGGAAGAGGCAATTTTCCTTCCGTGCTGTTTGTGCAGCCCAGAGTACAACACATTCCTGATCTATGACTAGCTTTCCAAACTGCATAGTAAAATGAATAATAATGATAGTAAAAGTTGTACAGCTTTTTTTTTTTTTTTTTTTTTTTTTTTTTTTATATATATACAGCCACCTTTGTATTACTTTTAGTGCTGGATTTTCCAGCTATTGTACATAGGGGGGGGAAAATGTCTTTTTGTAAAAACCACCATACCCAACCAAAACAAAATGAAAACAACCAACAAATTCAAGGTTTAAAAGAAAATTTTTATCGCAATCCTGGGTGAAACGACAGAAAGAGTCAAGCTAGATAGAATTAAACATCTCAGCTGGAGCACGGACAGGGCACCAGACAGCTTGCTAAAAATAGATTAATCCCAATTACAGCCACACTTCTGCTTTTTCAAGGTTCCGGTTTCACGTGGGGGCGCAGAGGCTGTGAATGGAGGGGGGGGGGGGGATCGGCACCCACTGCGGCACAGAGGGGCCGGGGGCACCCGCTGCCCGTTATTGTGTAACGCCGGGAACACGGTGTCCTCCGGCGGGAGCCCCGGGAGCCCCGGGAATGACGGCAGCGTCCCGCCGCGCCGGCCCCCGGCTGCCCAGCTCCAGCCCCCGCCCCGGGAAGCTGCTCTCCCCCGTTAGCAAAACCGGCCGAAACCGCTGGAAAACGGGGTTTCGGGTACCGCGCGCTTCGCTGGTTAAAGGTTTAAACATCAGCACCCTCCTGGCAGCTCCGCGAGCCGCCGGCAGCCACGGGGAAGCTGGGTGCTGTGCCAGGGCTCCCCGGCGTGATCACCCCCCCGGAGCGGTGCGCCCACGTCCCGCAGGAACTGCCAGAAATCCCTGTTGGGTTTATTTCCTCCTGGACAACATTCCCACAGCGAGCTGACTTGCTGTCTCATAAGCACAATTACAAAATGGTTGGTAGGAACTGAAGATATTTAAGCATTTGCTTTCCAAACTACGGTAGTTTATTTCTCCCGTAAAGCCTATAAAACTTTGAAAAACAACTATTCTCCCACCCTAAATTAGTGTATATTAATCACCAACGTAAATATTTAGCCAGAAAAAGTATCGCTTCAGCTATAATAACTTAGTTTTGATTTATCAGAAACCAGGAGTTAACTACATTTTTCCTTTTCGTTTCTGTAGCAGTAATCAGTAGGTAAGTGTCCGGGCCCCTCTGCTCGAGCTGGATCTCGGTCTGCACACATCGCTGCTGATGCTGCGAAAACCAGCCACCAACTGAAAGACCTTCTAGCTGGTAAAACAAAGGAAAAACTCACCAAACGCTCCTTCAATGTTGATGCACGTACTTGAGGAACAACGCTCCTGCAAGTGCAGGGCGACCGGCGAGAATTTAATTTAAAATGTCTCACTGAGCCTGTCGGGATGTTTCAGAAAAAAATAAGCCAAGTCCCAAAGAGCGTCAGGACACAGCCGTCACAGAGGGCAGGAGCCGAGATGCCGGCGGTGTGGTGGCCAGGGCTGGCAGGTTGTGCTGCGTGGGGCTGGGGGGCGGGGGGGGGACACGCTGGGGAACACCGACACGCGTGGCCCGGCCGAGCGGCTCGCGGAGGAGAGGAGAGTTAGGAAGAGGGTGCCTGTCAGGAAAATTCCTTGCTAGCTTTGAGCAGGACTGTTGCTTCAGTAAATAGTGTTTTTACTTACAGATCATCAGAAAATATTTCATTTTGTGTTTTTGAGCTTCATTTTCCCTCTGCACTGAAGCGCAGATCCAGGACTTGGGGCTTGCTTTTTGTATTTGTAATTACACGAGAAAGCCGCATTGCAGAGCAGCTGGTACCTCTGGGCTGACGGGCGCTCACCTGGGCTGACAGAAATTCTCCTGCACATCCCTGCTTTCATCTCCACAGACAGTCTTGCAGCTCCACTCTCCCGGATCTCGGCTGAACTTGTAGCAAAGTTTTTGGCTGTCCTGCAGCCCTGGTTGTCAGTCCTGCCGTCACTTCAACTTCCTGGAGCTACACCCTGGGCACAAGAAAATCTCCTGTTAAGTTCCACCAGCCTTAATATGACAAAGCAATATTTTCCAGTTGGGAAATGAATAAACAGGGAAAAATTTGTTTAGACGTTCCCTCTGCCCACTGCTTTACGGGATGCACCAATGGAAGAGTGATGCTGCTGGTGTGTGCAGAGAGGCTTGGCTGCTGTCCTGGTTTCAGCTGGGCTAGAGTTAATTTTCATCCCAGTGCTGTGTTTTGGATTCAGTGTGAGAATAACGTTGATAACACACTGATCTTTTAGTTGTTGCTAAATAGCGCTTATCCTAAATAAAGGATTTTCCAGGTTCTTGTGCAAGGGGGTGCACAAGGAGCTGGGAGGGACCGTGGCCAGGAGAGCTGATCCCAACTAGCCAAAGGGCTATTCCATACCATAGAATACCCAGGATATAAACCGGGGGGGGTTGGCTGGGAGGGGCTGATCGCTGCTTGGGCATCAGTCAGCAGGCGGGGAGCAACCGCGTTGCGCATCACTTGTCTTTTCTTGGGGTTTATTTCTCTATTTATTTTTTTTTTTTTTAATTATATTCCTTTTCACTGCAATTCTTACTATAATTTCTTCTTGTTATATTTTAGTTTCGTTATTAAACTGTTCTTATGGCAACCCAGGAGCTCTACTTTTTCCCGCTCCCGCGGGGAGCAGGGAGGAGCGCGCGGTGCCGGGGGCTCAGCCACGCCAGCCCAGAATCCCCGACGGCTACGCGGGCCCGGCTCGCTGCCCGCCCCTGCCTGCAGTGACTGCCTGCTTTTAGAAGCACGGCGAGAGATTGGGAAATCTGCTGTGATTCACAGGAACGGCTCCAGTCCCCCCGCCCACCCCCGGCACAGCACCCACGAGCGCCCGGGAGCTGCCAGACACCCAGAGCGCGAGCACCGCGGCTCCTCGCCGCGCGCCGCCTGCCAAGGCGCTCCCGGCGTCTTTCAAACTCGACGCCGCGAATTATTTGCTCTTATCAGAAAAATCCCTGACATGCTTTTTCTCTTTATTGCTGAAAATTGGCCTGTGCAGGGCTGGTTTCACCAGCTCAGCTGAGGGAGCCGGCACCGGCACTGATCCGGAGCTTTGCTGGTCGTGCTGGTTTGGTGCTGGCAGGTGCTGGCTGAGGTTTAGCTCTGCCTCTTGTCTCAGCCTTGAAACTGGGATTGTAAATTATTTTGGCCAGACATAAACTGCCTTTCTACAGCACTGAGCCACACTGGCCTCTGGGTCTCAGCTGAGCCTTCTAGACGCTTCTAAAAATAAGTAATTATAAGCTATTAACTTTTTAAAATACTCGTAAAAAAAAGAGCAAGAAGAGACTCCTTTCCCAGATCTTTTCTCCTAAACTGCCAAGACCTATTTTTTTTTAAACTGTATCTTTTTGGTCTTCTGTAGCCTTTCATAAAACAAGGGTACACAACAGTCTGAAAGTTCGCACAGGTATTTTGTACTTTACATAGCAATAATAATTTGAAAACCACTAGGAAGTACTAAAATCCAAGCTA